ATAATCGGTCCAAAACCGGTTCGGAAGTCCGGTTCATTGTAAACCGGTTCGAAACCGGTCCCATCGTTCGGAAATATGAATTGGTTCAAACCGCCGGTTCGGTTCGGCATCGGATCGGTTCTAGCTTGGACCGGTTCAGAGGTGAACCGGTTTTCGGTTCGGACACCGGTTCGGATCGTGAACCGGTTTTTTTGTGCACCACTATCCATATATGTGAATACGGCCCATTTCTTATAAAGGGCATTATAGGACGTGATAAATTGTATTGCTTTTGACATACAGTGTTTGCAATGGATTTGACTAGGACAAAAAGTTGAAAAACTTTATACCACCAAAAAAGATAGGAACATAGTGTTTTTTTTATTATTTTTCCTTGTATGTGCAAAAGCCAAAAGGGATAAATACGCTCCTTGTCCTTATCATCAAAAATAGCCCTACAAACTTGGTGTTAACCCACATTTGTGGTTTCTGACAAAATAACATGTTTCATCGACTTTCGAATTATTAAAAATAAAAGGGAAAAAAAAAACGCATTTTCTCTGAATTTAAGTACATAATTGCAACTTGAAAGTGTTATGTAAAGAAATAATGTAAGATTTATAGAAATAATACACACACAGCATAGAGGTAAACAAAAGGATGTCTGTCTGGAACCAATTTTACCATATACAAGTAGTTGTGCAAAACTCCAATAATAATAAACATATAATATAAAATCACAAGAGTTAAATTTGAAAATGCATTTTATACTAATAAAATCTACAACAACTAGATTAAGAGGTTGGCCAAAGGGAGCTGAGTTTGGCTGCAAGTTTTGCACTTTTATAGTCCTCTCTAAGCTGAATGAACCTGAACAAATAAAAAACTTAACAATAATGTAAATGCCAGAAATAGCAATGTATTAGATTGTCCTGATAATAAAAAAGTTTAAAAGCACAATGCTATATTTGGGTTGATTTTTCAAAGAATGTCCTAATAATGATTTTTTTTAAAAGTTAAAAACTCCACAATGTATGCATAGCAAGTTAAGAAAATGTTACATGCATACATATTTGTAACTTGTTAGGATGTCTTTGTTCCATTTTATTGGTTTTGTCTTCATATAAATATATCGTAAATTTTTGCACTGTATAATCATAACTCCTATTTCACAATTCACGGCATTTCTAAAAGAGAAAGTATCCTCTCGAATTTGAAATAGAGCATCTGAATCGATTGCAGCTTACTTTAAGAAATACAATACGTTACCTTTGAGCATCTTTAAGTATGCTTGGTGTGCCTTCAAACAGACTCGATAAGCTTTCAGGAGCAACAATGAAGACATTTGCCATGCTTTGAGATTTAAAAAATAAAATATATATATATATATGAGTAATAAATAGACAATCACAGTAAGTAAAGAAGGTATGATACATATTATTCAATAAAATAAGGTAACAACTTACATGCTTAGTGATTCGAATTTTTCATCAACTGTAGGAGCATTGAAGCTTCGCACAAAATCCCCATATTCAGTGATGTCACGTTTCAGCCTTAGTCCTCCACTACAGACACCACAACATAACAAAAAGTCAAGTCAAGCCTTTGTTTGATTTGGATTAAAAAATGATAATATTTGGATGAAGAAGAAGTTACCTGGGATTGAAAGTGTACTTCTGCCAGTGATTACTTAGGCCTTTGTGCAAGCGGTTCCCCTGTTTTGAAAAAAGTTCATCTTAAATCTTAATACATGACAGGTAAAATTAAATCATAGGAAATGTGTATGTGGCGTACCAATTCAGTTAAGAAAGCTTGCTTGTTAAGACCTTCTAGTGCAGTGAATGCTGCTTCAAGCACACGAGAGAGGTATGCCACAACTCTGAAAAACAAAACCAAAAAAAAAAAGTTGATGATTTTGTAAATAATAATAATATCAAGGAATTGCAAATTCAAACACAGTCAACCACCTTATGCATGCATTTGTAGGCCGATGATCAGGAACAATGCCATCATCTGGTGATTTATAATCGGTTGCTTTTTGTTCGGCTGAAAGCAATCGTTCCACCTACACACATATTTGATTTTTAAAAAAATATATCAATTTCAAAAGATTATATTTTTATGGAAAATATAAATATATAAATATAGTAGAAATTCAGTTTCAAGAACAAACCTCGGCCATAACTGTCTCGATGCACTGTTGGAGGCCTTTATAGGCAGCGCCCTCTGCACTGGACATAGCTGTTGCCATTTCTTCACATGATGCAGCATGTGCACCATCCACAGGTAACAGAAGCCTTGAAATTGAGTTAGCAAAGTACTGAAAAAAACCATACACTTTCCAATCAAACAACCATTCAGACTCTTCATTCACACTTTGTAATAAAGGGCTAAATGCAGGAAATACCAACGGACTTTTATTTGTTTATGTATTCCAACATCCTGCTTTCATTTCTTTCTATTACATCATTGTACTTGTAAAAAAAAGTCTTATTAAACCATTTTTGTAACTTTTAAATTTTTCCTATTAACACATTATAGTCTGAAATATCTACTCAAATATAGCAGTAAAAAATTATTTGTAATTGAATGACATTGCTATAAGTGCGAGTCAGTGGGTAGATTTTTGGTGTAATAGGAAGAAATGAAATTATGATGCTATATATTAATGAAAACCCAAAGTAACATACTTGTTGAACGATAGCCACACTGCTTCCACAACGCTGTACAGCAACCATGAAAGATCTAAAACTGCTTTCACCAGCAGCAGCAGCAGCTTCTGCCTACATCATAATTCATGACTCTCATCTCCTTTCAAATACTTAGGAAATATATATATATATATATATATATATATATATATGAATATTGAAAAAGGCTTACAGCAGAAGCAGCTGCAGCAGCCACTCTTCGACTAACACTGGTGCCTAACACAAACCTCTCCCTCAAAGCTGCAGCCTCTGTAAGGCCGTCTCTGGCTCTTTCAAGCCCTTCTGTTGTATACTGACTCACCTGCACCACAAAAAAGAAATTAATTCATAATTACATTATATGCATATGAGGATGGGAAGTAGATAAAATCTGTAACTTACTTGGTCTAGAAGGCAAGTGAAGACGGTTTTCACATTGGTTGCAAGATTACCAGGCTGTACACAGACAGATAATTGAGTAAAGGGAATGTAAGAATCTTGTGAAGTATCCAAGATTCATATAATAAAATTTGTTTTTGTTTTACTTTTACCTGAGGTGAAAACAAAGTGCATCTGGAAATTGCCTCTTCATTCCAGCGCACAAACTCTGTGACAACTGTAACAGATATTTGCTGGTGGGAAGATGATACTGAAGCGCCTTTTGAACGTCCAATTGACCCTGTTGACTCTCCCGCTAGCTGGCATTCAGAAAGCAGTTCCTCCATCTGTATGGGATATAATCCATCAAGGTATAGCAGGAGGAAATGAGTGTGTCTTGTAAGAAAAAAAAAAACCTTTGATTTGTAGAGTTGTCTTAAGGAAGCTTGCTCGTATTCAATGTACATATCTTTGTGATCAATGAATAGAGATTCTGTTAGGCCTGTACCAATAACAAAATGTATATCAGGACATTAAAAGTAACCATATGACTTTTATATGAAATGTCAGGGCTGTCTTGTTCTATCTAGTTTTTAGCATATTCTATCAATGTGACTCAAAATCATTAAATGATCTGCCTCCTCTATTAAATAAATACCCAAAAGCTATAATCAACGAGTAGCACCTACAAGAGTCCAAACATACAAAACATGTGGCCAACAGCTGTCGCCATTCAATTACATGCCACACAAAAACATCAGGAAGCTACTCAAGATTATAACAACTTGTCCATTGTTCAAGGTAACCATAATCGATCTGACCTAGAAGTAGGACTTCTGAAAGCATATTATTATGAAGTATAAAGGCGGAGGAGGTTTTAGGCTGAAAGATCAACACTTTTTTTTTTCTCTTGGTGTGTGTTTGTGCCTGGAAAGAGACTGAGAACTAGGAGATGATACCAGTCAAATTGTGAAGATATCTTTCATGAAAGTTTGGATTCAAATCTTGCAAGTGAAATTATAATTTTAGTGAGATGAGTGAAATTGGCCAACGTGTTGCCAGTATTGTGTTATATAGTAAATTTGTTTTGTATGTTGATCTTAGTTTTGATTTTGTGGAAATTTGGCTTGTTCATGTCCATTGCTTTTGAGTTCCAACTGTTGAGTAGAAATCTACAGAAAGTGAGTCTTAACTCTTAAGCAAACAAATGATCAGTTGTTTACCGACTTTTTATAGCTTGTCGAGTCGAAAACAAGTGTAATGGGAATTTTATCTGGTTTAGTATTAGACTAAGAAAACATCATATTGATATAGGCTTAGTAGGCTTTTGGCTGTTGGAAATAAAGTGGTGATGTTTCAGTTGATTATTTGAAATTTGGAATGGGTCACTTAACTTTTACTTGCTTAATAATCAAGCATGCTAAGTGATGTATTGCAAAGGTTCATGTATGTTACTTCTATTCTATGTGTTGCTTTCATATTCATATAACATATTAACATGTGTGGTGAAGAATATTTTCCAATTGGACCAAAATAGGTATTTCGATACAATATGTTGACAATAGAAAACTAACTTTAATCCTCAAGTCATTGCAATATCATCTAAAAGGAAGTAGCAATGTTGTTTGTACCTTCAATGTCCAAGTCACCACATCCCACACTGCGTAGATCCTTGGCAAGTTCCTGTGTCTTCTCATATCCCACTGCCAACATCCTCAGGTACTGAAACGGAACCGCAAAACCCAAATTCATATATATGCATCTAAACCCAACAAACAGACATCCATTTACACAAACAAGTCATGCAACTTACTAGCAAAAGACCACCTTCTCCCATCGGAGGTGGATGCACTAAAGATGGTTTCACCAATAGTTTCTCCAACAGTTTAGGAACCCGGTCTTCCATTACTCGCTACATCATAAAGTAAGTAAGTAAGTGTGTCACAAAATTCATAAATATGTGGTTTCTTTCTTTCTTTGCAAATACCTGTACCAAAATTGACATGACATCATTTGGAGAAGGAAATACAGCCGTGATGGTAGCTGCTTCTTTTCGGACAGTATCTACAAGCCAAGTATATTTTATATATTATAGAGAAAACACACTTTGAAAATGTTAATTAAAAAAAATCCATCATATTCATACCGATTATCTCTTTGTACAAAGAGGAGAGTGCACGGGCAACATTACTGGGACTAGGTAGGGAATCCTGGTCACCAAGAACCAATCGTGTGTCTGCATTCATCACCTCCACATCAAACATCGGCCTTAAACCCACGTAGTGTTGCATCGCACTGGTGCCTCTGTTAAACTGTATATCAAAAAATCACACAGTAAGCCAAAACTACTTTCTTTTTATCGTTTTAATTGTATATACGCACCTGAGATAGGATTTTTGCACATTCTGCCATGGTTGACAATTCTCTTTTCTGAGATGCAGTATCAAACCTAGACAACAACCTGTTCTCCAGTTCTGTACAAACATTCACCATGGTCAAAAAGAAAGCATCCACAAGTGAAAAAACTGAATGTTAATGTAGCTACCATTGCAGTATTCTTGAAGGTTGCCAACAGCAACCTCCAATCCTCTACTAGCAGTTGCATTCCCTGGAACGGATTGCATAGTCACACCCTGTCTGCCAATATCTTCCTCTGCAAATGAACCTGAAATCAACAAACAAAAGTGCACTTCATAAGATATACTTAGATCCAAATAAATCAAAATGATATTTACAAGTTAGTCGGTTTTTGAAAAGAAAAAAAAAAATGTACTTACGTAATTTTTGTGCAATCGAAGCAGCCTCAGCAACACGGCTGTCATCAGAGAATAGAGGAGAAAGTTCCATCAGATCCCCTGGGCTACTGTTGAATTCCATTAGGTACTGCATAACAGAATCAACACGGGTGTTAAATACTTGCAAGAAAAAAGAAAACATATGAGTTGTATTGCATCCAGTTAAAGTACCTTTATGAGCTCCATAGTTTGGCTGGCAGTTTCTCTCTGGGAATCTGCACTCTGGAATTGAAGAGCACAAAGGTTTAAATTTAACAACTACACAACCAGCTTTTTAATAAAATAATATGATTGGAGAGAATTTAAACTTCACCTGTAAATGATCCCCAATTTTAGCAGCAGTCTGCCCAACACTAGAAATACGTGAATCCAATCTTGCAAAGCTATCAAACAACCCATCCACACCTTTCTCCAGCTGAAAACAGGAATTAATTAAAATCTTAATAATTTAGATAAATCAAAAGGTTCAAACAAACTAGCATTAATTCAAAACTTTCATGTGTATGAAAATAAATATGAGAATACAACTGAAATTTCAGGTTGCATGAGTTCAGTTATTAACATTTTTTAGATATAGTAAAATGATCTCCAGGTCGTAAGCAGATCTATAGAGAAACATGATCTGCATGTGGAGAATGTTTTAGAAATGGATTAATGTATGTCGAATAGTAACCAAGTTTCATGGTTGTTCCACCTAGGTATTGTTCCACTCAGTGACAAAAAAATCATGCAGTTTTAATACTTTTTTGTTAAAACTATTTAGTAGATAGTTGTCTTTATTAAAAACAGTGACATAAATAAACTTATGTGGGTTTTGATTTGAAATATGTGGCATTAGAAAAAGAAGAAACTATTTCAAATATGGTTTACTGGAACTGCATGTAGAAGGTGAAGTTGGTTTACAAATTTCATAGGGATCAGGAATGGAACAACAAAATTATGAACTGAAGTTTCAGATAAATGGAACAAAACCAAAACTTGAGTGGTAAAACCTCTTCAAATAAAGTTCGAGGTACCTGGGTGGAACAAAGTTGAAATTCTGATACAATTTAGTGACATTAACCCTTTTAAAAAACAAATCCAACCTAAAAAGTTCCAGAAATTTGTTGAGGCCAATCTATTGATGAAAATTTCAACTTCTAGACTATTAATCTGTAATAAAACCTTATCTGGTCACTCAAAGATACCTTTTAACTTATGAGAAGAACATAAATACTGAAATAAACATTCAGAAAATGAGATTAATGATTTACCTCACCAAGCGTCTTCCTATGTTTAGAGTCTTGTGCAGAAACATCTTTTTTAAGATTAAATAGTTTTCCATCAACCTTTAACAAACATACAAAAATGTGTTGAGGAGATTAAATTGCTTGGTGCATAGATGCAAAACAAATCAAAAATAATGTTATGCAATCAATATATACCTGTTTCCGAATTTCGACTAACTGCGAACAGGAATTCTTGAACATTGACAATAAAGCATCTACTTCTGGAAATAAAGGAGTCAATTGCCCTTGCCCTTGACCTTGCCCTGCCCTTCCATTAGGCAAAGCATCATTCCCATTAATATTACCATTTGCTTCTAATGAGTCAGCATCTTCTTCTTGGAAAGATGGCAGAACCTCATTTACTAAGTTTCCAAATAAAGCATCGAAAGAGAAGTCGCCCTTCACAAAACAAATAGGACAAGGTAGCAATGGCATTGAGTATAATAAACTGTAATACATGCACCGATTAGATACCATACACACAAAAACATAAGATTGTGAAGCTTTACCTTGAAGTCTTCTATGTCTAAAACAAGTGGTTGAGATATTTTGTTACTTTTTGTTCCATCTCTAATCTCTTTCATCTGAAAGAAAGAAACATGCATACACCCTTTAGCCTTTTGTAAATTTATCATGATGAACTTTACATTGATGTCATGTCACAATTAGAATATAAGATAATGTTTTAACCAGATCATCCTAGATAATCATAAAATCCCATTCTAGTAAACAAATTCAGTAACTTCCAAGATTGTATGAATCCATATCTTGAACTTGAAGCTACAATTTAAAATGAGATAATCACCGAATTATAAAGTTTAAGTTTCTCATATCATTGGTCATGAAGCTATGTCTCCATTTCATATTCAAACTGACAGAATTGTATTAGATGGTATTGAACGCACATACTGAAATGGGATGACAGGAAAAGTTAAACTGGGCCTAATTGAAAAGCTGTACCCAGATCATCCTAAATAATCGTAAGATCCCATTCTAGTAAACAAACTTCGGATACTTTAAATACTGTTAAATCCATTTCTCAAAACTGAAAGCAAATAACAAAACTCTCACCCAATTCCACCTCAATTTCGATCATAATTCATAAAGTTACCGGTTCACATATTAGCAGATCTCGATGGTCATAGAGCTACTTCCATTTCAAATTTAAACATATTAGACCCGTTATTGACTAGTATAAAGAAAAACCACTAGTGAACACACTCGCCAGGCATTACCTAAGAATTTAAATTGAACCTAATTGCAATATTTAACCAGATCATACTAAATAATCGTAAAATTCCATACTACTACAGAAATTTCAGTAAGCCTCGAGATTGTAAAATCGATATCTTAAAACTGAAATTCACTAACATAACTATCACCCAATTCCACCTCAATTTCAATTTTTGAAGTCGCCATTTCAAATATTAGTAGATCTCTCTGGGCATGAAGCTACTTCTCCATTTTAAATTCAAACCAGATAGAATCATAGAAAAACCCTAGCAAAATCTTACAATATGATTGAATTATTAACATCGAATGAGGGGATTAATGGTTCGATAAAGAGATTGGCTACAAACAATAAACCTCGTTGGAGATCAAGTTAAGCACAGACTCCTACTTTGATCTTCCTGAAAGAAATCCTTCTTCTTCGTGTTCTTAAGTTGAAATATTAGATCGAGCGGGTGCAGAAAACAGATTGAAGAACAGTAGACGGAGCCTGACCGCGAAGACTACAATGAAGAAAGCGGTAAGCGTAATGACCTTATTGCCCTCTCGAGTCTCGACCTGCGGTGACAGCGGTGGATACTTGATTTCCTTTTATGAAAGTTATAAGTAAAAATAAAGGGAAATCGAGTAACAAACCATTTTAAAAAAAAAATACATTTAAATTATTTTTTGTAAAATAATCATTTTTTTCGGAATGGACCGTTTCGGAAATAAATTCGGATTCGTTTTCTAGTTGGCCGGTCCATATCAATAAACATCTCATCCATAAACTTTTTCCAATAAATGTTTTCAATTTAAACAATCAAATCTATCATACAATTGCTCCACTCATTAAACCAAACTTCTTGAATGATATCAGAACCGAGATCGAACTGACTCCTTTCCAACCTTACCGGCGCGACCCACCAAAATGGGATTCCACGTAGATCCGAGTCCTTCCAGAAAATCGGTCAATGCTACTCTGACGCTCTATTCATGGGTCCAAAATAGTCGTTGTTCGACACTTGAAGAATGATCATTGCACCCATACACCGTCAACGTATACTACTTGATAATTCTTGAGCAATCCCATCCTCTGGACCCAAGCTCGTGCAAAAGTGCATCCCTTACACCCTGAAGTATATTGATAAATCAACCATAGTTCTACTCTTACTAATGATAACGATCGGTTTAACGAGCCAACCAACCCTTCAATTGATATCCAATCTGAGCAACACACGATCCTCTTAATTATATTTCATTATCCCAGAAGGGACATCCGATTACAACGAGATCCTTGCCTAGAAGCTTTTGATGCGAGGACCACGTGCACAACCTTAAAAGCATGAATTTATCAGCAACTCTGTAACGTCCGGTTCCCGGTACGTATTTTAAATAAAAGTAATTGCATTTTTACACTGGGACTCGACGAGTTAGAGGCCCAACTCGTCGAGTAGACTGGACTTTGGACAAGGGTTTTAAGTAACCTACTCGACGAGTCGGGAGCCCGACTCGACGAGTAGGACTGCCTGGATGAAACCCTAATATTTAGGGTTTGCACCCTATTTAAACACATTATCTTGTCCCATTTCAGCCTCCATCGTCTCTCATAGTCCAGAAAAGCCCTAACTCGAAACCCTAAAGCATTTGGAGTGTTCTTGAGCCATTTTTGTGTGTTTATGGTTGTTTGAAGCTTGAAGAAATAAGTGGAAGCTTGGTGGTTCCAGAAGAAGCAAGTAGATCCAAAGGTTTTGCTTCATTCCCAACCCATTCAAGGTAAAAAGCTTCAACCTTGACCATTTATCTCTTAGATCTCTAGTTAGGGCAAGTTCTACCTTTTCTAGGTGTTAGTAGAACCATTTTCGGGATTTGTGGTTTTAAGGGGGTATGACTTCAGATCGGGAACCATTGGGGGTTCCCGTGGCATAAAGGTGCCAACTTTATGGCCATGGGAGTCCCATGCATCATATAAACCTCATTTTAGAGTCTTTTGAGCCAAAAACCCCATGCATGAACGTCAAGATCGTAGCTTTACGTGTAAAATGGACCCTAGGAGGTCAGATCTATGTTTTGGATGCATTAAGACCATCTGAAATCGACTGAATAGTTTTGGACATAGAGGGACTCGGCGAGTCACTTATGTGACTCGGCGAGTCAAGTTGCATTTTCCCCAAAACCCCTTCTGATAGCGAGTGTGTGTTGAGTTGGAAGAGGACTCAGCCAGTTGGGTTCATTATGGACCTGAAGATCATCGTACTCGACGAGTTCAAGGATGAACTCGGCGAGTCCAAGGCAATATCCCAAACATATGAAGATGAACTCGACGAGTTCAAGGATTAACTCGACGAGTCAAGGACTAAACACCTTAACTCAGATGAAGATGAACTCGGCGAGTCAGTTGTAGAAGATCCCGACTTTGTTTAAAGAAGAACTCGGCGAGCCCTTTTAAGGCTCGGCGAGTAGGATCGAGTCTTGCCGTTTTCATGATTTAGGAACTCGACGAGTTGTGGGGCCAACTCGGCGAATTGAGTCAACTGGATGTTGACTTTGACCTAGAGTTGACTTTGACCAAGGTGTTGACCTTGACTTTGACTTTGACTTGAGATGACCAGGAAATGGTAATTAAGGAAGATTGTTATGTGTAGGATCTGAGAGGGGTTGATTCCGGCAGCAAGGACAGTTTAGACACTTTACGAGGTGAGTTACCTTCCAGTAGAAGTGGGTCTACAGCCATAATGTCAGCCCACTAGTAGGAGATGGTTGTTAGATAATTGTCTTTGTGATAATTATCTGGTATGTTATGTTTTATGTGATAGTATGATATGATGTTATATGATATGTGATTGAATGGGTAGGATAGACCCTAGTACCGGTCGATAGGACCGAAGGGGTATGCCAGCACCCAGACAAGCTAGGCAGTACATGATTTATATGCTGATGCACTAGGATGTTGTGTGGTAGATTAGGGGTGAAATAGTCCCTGGTACCGTTCGAAAGGACCGAAGGGGTAGGCCAGCACCCTGATATGTTAGGCGAGGTACTGGTCGACAGGACCAAAGGGGTAGGCCAGCACCCTGATATGCTAGGCAAGTTACCGGTTGAAAGAGACCGAAGTGGGTAGTACCCAGATATGTTAGATTGTATGTGTTATGTATGGTATGTGGTATGATGGGGGAACTCACTAAGCTTCGTGCTTACAGTTTACAGTTTTGTTTTCAGGTACCTCTTCATCGAAGGGGAAGGAGTCGGCACGGTAGCAGCGCATCGTACACACATACCCGATTTCCGCACTATGATGTCCTTGGGATTGTACTCTGACATTATTATTATTCCATGACATGTTTTTATGACATTTAGCTTATGGGTTATAAGTTTGATATATATATCGATGTTGTTTTTCAGTAAATGGTTTTATAAATTACTTAATTAAAAACAAAATTTTTGATCTTGAAAATTGGGATGTTATAAACTCACCCTGCACTTACTTCTGATCAACCCCTTAATCCTTTTCACCATAAAAGATCTTAACAATCTCGAATACCGAAAATCCAACGAACTTACACTACAACTTTCTCTGACCTATTGTGCTAGAACCAATCAAAATCAAATTGGTTGTTAATCCTTCAAACAAAACACTCAGTCCTTCCCCACTCTAGGCTTACTCCATTATTGGCCGACGTTTTCCCAGTCAAAGCCTAAAACCGGTTCATCCAGACACTCTCTAAACACAACTCTTGATATGCAAAATGGCATGCAACAATTCTTGAATATTAACCAGCAAACTCAAGGAAATCCTGCACCTTAGATGGAGACGCTAGAAGCTTTCCAAACAATACAACTTTAAACCCTTTTACGAACGAACCTCTTACCTCATGATTTACAAAGCACCCCGAAGGCCGCATCCCTGATCCTTTAAAACCCATCGATGCTAACATAATAGAGCTAACAAGCTAAATATACAAATGGTTATCCATTTGGCATCACATTAAACAAGTACATCTAGTCAAGATAAAATCGAGGGTCAAAATTCATATCTACGATTTCTTGCGATTCAACCTTGACCTCCCATATGATGATAGGTGTTTGGGCATGTACTCCCTCCGCAACCCATGCAAGACAGTCGGGTATGATATGACCCGACTGGTGACAATGGAAACACGCTTGATCCTTCTTGCAGTCGCGAACGACATGCCCTTTTTATCCACACTTGTAGCATTTGAATCTGTGACAAGCAAACTCATTGGTTTCATCATATTTTCCGCATATATCAAGGTCCCCCTGACTTCCAATACAAAGGTTAGCAGCCTCGAACTCCTAGTCCATCGCTGAATAAGCCATCTTTGTCTTTCTGAGTCGCTTGCCCACATCAAGCTCTCCCCCAGTAGTCGCCTCAGAAGTCCCTCTCACATTCTGCAAGGTTGCAGTTCGCTCCTTGAACTTGGCAATTAGCCTGCCGGTTGTAACGTCCCAAAAATTCATAGTAAAATTTTCATTTTTAAAACAATAAACCATACGAACGAGTTGTTCCAAAACCGATCAAAGTGAATATATTATTTAAACATCAGGGTAAATGTTGAAAATTGTTAATGCGGAAAACTCTAGTGGATGCGGTGCAGTCACGTTGGGCCCTTCCCTTTCGTACCGGAAGTACCTAAAACCATAAACATAAAACCATAAGCACAAATCTTAGTGAGTTCCCCAAAACACCATATACCATACATAAGAAAGTGAATGTTATGGGCCAAATCATAGTCTTACAATCACTTCTTGCCATGGGCCAAATCATGGTCTTTCCTTGCAATGTCGAGGGCCAAATCCCGATCTTACATACAAGTGCCAGGGGCCAGATCCTGGTCTTTCATACAATTGTCAGGGGTCATATCTTGGTCTTTCATATAAGTATCACAGAGACAACTAGCATTCTGCATAACAAAGTAATGGGTCAACATTGGTACCTTCGACCCATGGATATATCGAGAAGACCCACCTCTCCATCTGAAAGATCACTGAACAGGACATTGTTCTGAATATTAGCTCTACCGGTCACCTATTCAATGGAACATTACCAAACTTAACTTATAATTAATATACCCAAAATACCCCTAGGTCAAAGACAGGTCAATGTCGAAAAGTCAAAAATCCAACTGAGTCAACTCAGCTGAGTACGCCTAGCGTACTCATCTTCTACGCTTAGGGTACACAGGCCTTGACCAGAAATGAGGCGTTGACCTCGTACGCCCTGTGTACCATGGCGTACACCCAGCGTATGTGCAACCATCATTCCCTTCTATTAACAAATTAATCCCTTAAACTCTTTCGTACAAATTCCAGACCTAGTCCTCAAATGATGTCCTTAACCATAAAGTTTCCAACTTTAAGGTCTTTCATGGCCATTAAGTGCTCAATACCAAAAACCCTAACTTCTTAACTCTTTAAGACACCTTAGCTCATGCATGGAAGGAAACTAAGGTCCAAGATTACATTTTTATGGTTCCTAATAACTCTATAATGGGTAAAGTTTCCAACTTTATCCATTAGAATGGTCCAACCAACCAAGATCTAGTCTTTAAGTCTCAAAGGGACCAAAAGTGCATCCTTTCCAAATTAATCCATTAAGTCTAAGTCTCAAGCCTTTAGATCTGAATCAATATGATGTTTAG